ATTCAAATTGTGTCATCTTGGGAAAAAAAACCCCAAAACCAAATCAACCCCTCCCCCACCTTTTTGAAGTGAACTATCAGGGAAGATCCTAACAGGGCAGGGAAACAACGCCCTCCAAGGAAACCACATGCCACGATGGCCCTGCCCATTCACACAGTCCATGAAGACACTTGTGTGTCTTCCGTAGCCTATGACTGTGTCCCCCCAAGGTCACCTGTTGGCCACTTTATCCCCAATGCAACAGAGCCAGAGGCAGGTCAACTAAGAGGTGATGAAGTCCCCAGGGCTCTGCCCACATAGATGAATGAATGTCATCATCATGGGAGTGGCCTTGCTATAAAAGCGAGAATGGTCTCCTCTAGCACATGCTCTCTAGCCCTTCTGCTTTCCACCATGAGATGACATAGCAGACGCCAGTGCAACCCTGTGACATAAACTTTTGTTGTTTGTAAATTACCTAGTCTGTGGTGTTCTGTTACAGCAAGAGAAAAGTGAACGCAGCAAGGTAGAGATTCTGTAAACACATTTTTTCCTTTATTTTTAAAATATGAAACTGAAGTAATATTAATCAATAGCTTTTGATGTTTCTCCTTCGGAAACACCATTGAGACCCCAGTGTAACACAGCCTCCTCCAAACAGCATTTAATACAACTGTCGTTAGCCATAGTGCAACGATTGCAGTGTAGTCTGTTGTGGAAACATCTGGGTTGAACCTGGGATTTCTCAGCACTCTGAGTTCTTCATGCATCAGTTTGCCTTGATGCCTCATTTCTAAATCAAAGGGAACACAATCTAATTTCAAACTGAAGCAAATGGGAAATTGATGGGTGTTGCCTTGTCAGCGGAACATAACACAAAACAACTAGTCTGCTCTCGTGAAATAGAGTCATTTGGAGAAAAATAAATGAACTCTCACTGTCTTAAGCTCAAAGTCTCATTTCACCCACTTTTTGTTCTCATTTCCTTTGAATTGACTTTTCTTAGGATAGTTTACCCCACAACCCTTCTCACTGTCTTTCTGCCTCTGTGTCATTCTTCTGTGCCACCAGCAGTTTAGTAGTGATAGCAGCAGTGTTTCTCAATGCACTGTGGTTCTCAGGAGGGGGACACTGCAAGCTGTTGATTGCTACAGTTCTTTGCTCTTATCCTTCAGGGAGTGAGTCTCCACTGCTGTCCAAAAGGCCTCTGGATGGGGAGTTCAGCACTGGCACCAGCAGTGTGTTTTATTGATCACCGGGTTCAAAATCCATTCTCCTCCTGAAAAGAATATGTGGTGCTAAGACAATTTCACTAAGAAATCAAATTGCTGATCACCAGTTCACCAAATGGCTCAGTCAGAATATTTCCTTTTTTAGCTTTTTGGAGTTGATTAGTTTTTGTTTGCTATTTAGAGCATTCTTTAAGGAGTCCTACTGAGGCAAGCTACAAACTGAAGGGCAGAGAGATGGAGACTGAGTACATAACAAGAATATGTTTTTGAAGAAAGATTTCTTCTAAATGTATTATTCAATAATAAATTAGTAAACTTATTCATTAAGGATTCTGAATATTCAAGAATGAAGTAGTAAATATATTCTTCATGTGTATATTTATGAGAAAAATCTTAAGAGGGATACATTTATAAGACAATGTATTCATGAAGAACATATTGCCAAATATTAAGAATATATTAATAGGAACATTTCATATTGAAAATAATATTCTTTAGTCCTAGGAGTTGCAGCCACAAATGGATCAGACCTTAAAATGGTATGGAGCAAAGTCCCAATGTGTAAATGTGGGAAGTTGGCCATTTGGTGGGTGGTAAAGAAACATTTGAGGGTCACACAAGTTGCAAGCTCAAGAATACAGGACTGAAGCCCAGGCTCATCCAAAGCTCAAGTACTCCTTTGTACTTCTCTGTCCCCAACTCTTACTCAGAAGATGGATACCCTGTAGACAAAGACGACTCGTTCCAGAAATGCCTGTATGGTTGAAAGTCAGCATGCAGCAAGGGAAAGACATCATAACTTGGTGTGTTGTTATCAAGGAGCTAGTTTCTTATCACTGTTGGAATCTCCTTTAACCTATGGGTTTTATAAGGTCAGATATCTAATCACAGAGGGAAAAAGGAGGTATTTAGAGATGTAGGATAGATTTTTGTAAAGTCCAAGGGCTGCTGGAAGTGAGAGAGAGTTTATTTTCTTTTGCAGAAGTTATCTGAAATTACAGGAATTAAAAAACTACAGTCTCAGAAGTCTTAGGCTCCCTTAGGATCCTTGCTAATGATCTAATTTCCAGCACCATGATGTGTACTTATGATATGTTGTACAAATGGCCCTTTGGGGGAACTCTTTCTAATAACCTCTAAGTTTGTATTTCTTGAAGCCTTGTTGGCAATTTTTTGCTTTCTTCTTGACTCAACTCATACCATCCATATAATTTCTGGATGTTGCTTGATGGGACAGTGTTTGGAGACAGAGTGACAGAGTGAAAGATTTCAACTCTTAATGTTTCAAACCTTTCTGGAGAGTGTAGGAAGGGGGAAGGGAAACTGGTTTGAGTAGAAGCTGGACAAAGGTAGAGTGGAACCTAGGGCAGTCAGGTACCCCTGAACAGCACCCCAGAGTCCCACCATGTGTCCCTGGGCCTCCGGCATATTGCCACTCTAAGAGTGGGGCCTGCTGATCAGTCTTGATGCAAGAAAAGGGGTTGGTATATGGTAGATTTTTGTGAGCTTGGCCTACAGTTAACATAAAGAAATGGATTTGAGTTGCTGTCATTTCCTGATACCTATTTAATGGCTGCTGTTAGGTGTCAACCCCTGGAATACACTGTGTCGCTTACATTTATACACATGCATACACTCCCAAAATTAAAGCATTATTTTTCTACTTTACAGAGAGGCTGCATCTGTCTAAGAGTTTGCAGAGCTGAGACTTGGATATGAGTTTGTATTTGAGGCAATACATACTTTATTGTGAACCAACTAAGTGACAGATGCTATGCCAAGTGCAGGGTGCCAGTGATGAACGTGACAGTCATAGGCTGTCTTCACAGATCTGGATCAGTGGGGAGAGAAAAACAAGTATTAACAATGAAGAGTGAAGGACAAAAGATGGGGAGGTATAGGCTGCTGTGGGGCCAGTAAGTCCAGCATCTGACAGTCGAACTGTCAAGAAAGACTTCCAAGGAACTGGGGTGGGGTAGAGAGACAGACATATGCACAGTGAGAGGTGCAAGAGCAGAGTAAACCTGGAGAAAAGGGGAAGTCTAATATAAATCTAACACAGGATGTCAAAGCAGGAGGGAGGATGAAGGGGAAGGAGGGACTGCATGTGGCGTGTCTGCTCTGTGCTCAGTCTGTAGGAACCAATACTCAAGAACTGACTGTGCACATTTCTTCCTCACCCCATCGATGTCGTGGTGGTGGAATTTACACCACACAGTCAGATGACCATAGTGACTTTCACGGGTGGCTTTGCTAATGATGGCACTGTGCTTTCAGGTGAGTTGATCTGAGCTCCCTTTTGGATATGTTGAAGTTAAGGTACTTGGGTGCCAGAATGGGGGTTTCCAATGGATCTCTCGCTAGCTGATCACACATCTTCTAGGAACAATAGTTCAATCCCAATTTGGCTTGGTATCATTCATCCTGCTCCAGGTTGTTTCTTGAAATAACATGCATTAATTAAATACATGAACCACAAATCTCAGGTCTCCCATGGCACCTATACAACAAAAACAATTCTGAAGTCCTATTAATGAACAACGTCTGATTTAGTCTTTCAAATTACTACCAACTATTTTCCTAAGGGAAATGTATCCAAGGAGTGGTGTGGTCAAAACTGGCTGACTTCTTCACTTTTTAATGCACGCAGTTACCTTTGTTCTCTCAAAACTGTGAAAAAAAAAGACTCTAGTCTGCAGGGTGGGCATGTTTATAACAACATATTCATTAAGGCAGGGAAGTTGGCATTTTGTTTTATCTGTTTATTATCATTTAAAATATATTAAAATTTTAACAGCAGAAGCAGGAATTTAAATTGCACAGGGCAGTCTATAAAAAGCAAAACAAAACAACAAATAAAACTCCACAGAAACAAAATTTACATAAACCAGTTAAATGTTAAAATTATATTTAGGTAATGATCGAAAGAAATATAATGTACACTTCTTACAGATGATTTTTTTTCTTCATCTAACAGTGGAGAAATTATCTAAGCAAGCAGAATCACCTGTCTTAAACTGTTTACATTCTTAATGAAGCAAGTGGATGTGATCAGGTTTGAGTCTCTTTTTTATGTATTCCTTTTTTGTTCTGACCTGGAAATGATGAACGTCCATTTCTATGAGAGCACTGTAGCTGTTACCATGTGTAAGAGTAGTAAGAAGTGTAAGAATTAAGAAGTATAAGAAATGAGGTACTTGCCTTTCATAACTCTGGGACTGACTTCACATGACTTGAATTTCAGATATAATCATTCATAAAACATGAATCAGGTCTGAGAACAAATCAGAATTTTTCAAACAAGGAACAGATACTGAGCTCCCTACTTCAGACATCTTCCCTTCTAATGGTGTCTCTGTTTGTAGAGGTGAACCCAGACCCCAGATGTACCTGTTATACAGATTCGACCCATTGCAGGAGAAATCAATTCTCCCCAAATCTGGTTAGGGTGTGAGCCATGAAGATTCCATTGTAGGTGGGTGATGGCCCACCAGCCAATGCCTGTGTTAGGATGGGTCCCCTAAGGTCCCACTTCTGATGGAGGGTCCTGCCAGTTCTGGAAGTGCCCACCTATTCTTCTCCCATTACTCCTGGGCACACTCCTTGTGTTGGCCGCAGGAAGCCTTGGGACCACAACCAAGAAATGGTTAATAAAAGGAAAAGTAGAATTCATGAGTCATGGGAACACGTACTCATTATTATTATTCTTAAAGATGTACACTTTCCTGAGTAAAGTACATGGAAACCTTGCATGAGTCTTTTTAGAGCACCAGGACTCCATCTCCTGTACTTGCTGCACCCAGATGACAGATGTGAGCCACACTTAGCTGTGGTTCTGGTGAAAGTATTAGTCAGGTACAGATGTATACCTCTCTTCACTGTCATACGACTGGAAGGACATACACTTGCAGAATGGAATATGGCTTTTTTTATGGAGAGGGAAGAATATAGACATATGTGTGGGTTTCTTTGGTCTTTGCTGCAACACATCAGAGCAGAAAGGAGCCCCACAAAGATAACCATGTTCCTAGCACTGATCACTTATCAAAATCCTCTGCACACATAAGCCACAGATACTTCAAAGGGTCCAGATTAATTACAGGTGTGACCATTGGGACATTAAAATCTAATGAATGGGCACTAACTTATTGCTGAAAGAGCACAGGTCCTGGTGCCAGCGGAAGTTCTAGTTCAGGAGTGGGTTCATCCCTGGCTTCTTGGCCTGAGGCAGTATTGTCTTCAGTAAAGTCCCGGGAGGTCCTGAACATCAGGATAGAATTGTAAATCTTCAGTGCGGGGCCCAGCTTGATCTTCATCACTTTGACAATGTCTGTCTGTGTCAGAAGAAGGAAGGCTTTGCCATCGATCTGCTGTAATGAAACACACAAAAATACCCTGTGGGTGCTGACTGTGACAAAGAACCCACCATGGTTTCCCTAGAGTGAGGTTTCCCCTACTTGGCTCAGGCCTACCTGCCCAGAAACTCCACTGGAAGTGGAAGTTGAAGTGGATGTGAAGTTAAATTTAAAAAGTACTCGCTGTTAAGTATGAACTCCATACACAATAACTGTTCCCATGCTAAATTTTTGTTGTGTTTTAAAAATCTTGGCCTTAATTTGTATCAAGAGCTCCAAAAGTACCACCAAGTAAATCTCTAGAAATTTCCCCAAGAGCTAATGTCCATTTTAGTACTATTTGTAATAGCAGAATGCTAGAAACAACTCAGGGTTCCAATAAAAACAGAAGTAAATAAATTATGGTATCATTTCAGGATAATTCACTACAAGTGCAATCACCAACATTCATGTGCCCATGAAATATTTAATGGCTAAGAAAGTTTACAAATTGTTCAGCAATAATTTGTAATACTATGATAGAGATTTTAGTTTTCATTTGGAAAGTTAAATATCTATAACCACATATTTAAAATATTAGAAATCTTTATACCAAATGCTAATGGAAGTTATCTTTGGCTGGTAGGATAATGGAATAGTGATTTACCTTTTACTTCTGACGTTCCTGTATTTTAAGCTTTCTTTTGAAACAGAAATACATACTCAATGTTTTATTTATTAACTTCTAACAGATTTAAAAACTGGCTCAGAATGATTTCTGACTCCACATGAACATATTCTTGGGGATCGAATGTCTGAAATGGGTGGTGATGTATGCACTAATGATCCTTATTGTGGTAATCATATGCATATTGTCACCACTGAATGGTGCCCCCTTGAATCTTTACATGACAATTAAATACTTTTAAGTTAGAAAATATTGCAGTCTGAAGTGTGACAGCTTTCCTGAGAGTCACATGATGGCCAATGGCCACCATGCAGGCTGTTTGCACACTGCTTCTGGAGGCCCCAGACACCTAAGAACTTGACTCCAGAGACTGCTTGAGTGTCCTGCCCCTATCTGATGACACTTATGTACACAGCCTGGCTCAGCTGACTCCTGGCTCCAGAACTACAAGAGCAGGAATGAAAGAACTTTCTGTGCTAACAGCCTTTGGTCACCTGGGCACAGAGGGTCGACACCTTCTCAGCTTTTCATGCAAGGACCTCAGAGTCAACGCCTCATCAAAGCTGTGATCTTTTTGATGGAAGGAGGAATTACTCTGAGAGTAAAACTTGTGTGGGTTTTGCAAATTTTAACATTCAAAAAATTTAAAAAAGCGTCCTGAGCATTGATACATTGTCTGAAGAAGACATCCCTTTAGAGAACAAAATACTTCTCTCCCAGGGATAAAGAGCACATTTCCTTAGGCACAGGAGAGGAGAATATGTCTCCTTCTACACCTTGACCTGGCAACAGCATTTTCAGGCAAAAATAATTGGCCAAATGGCCAAGTATCCTAAGAATAAAGTAATGTTAATGATACCAGCTAAAATTTATGGATTTATAACAATTCATTATAATAATCTGTTATATGTGTTTCATCTTCCTAACACCCTTGTAAGACAGATAAAGACTTTGAGCACATGATAAAAGCAAGAGCACACAAGGGAGGGGTGAGGATAGATAGGTAAGACACCTAAAAAATTAGCTAGCATTTGTTGCCCTTAACGCAGAGAAACTAAAGCAGATCCCTTAAAAGCAACTGAGGCCAACAGGAAAAGGGGATCAGGAACTAGAGAAAAGGTTAGATCAAAAAGAATTAACCTAGAAGGTAACACCCATGCACAGGAAATCAATGTGAGTCAATGCACTGTATAGCTATCCTTATCTCAACCAGCAAAAACCCTTGTCCCTTCCTATTATTGCTTATACTGTCTCTACAACTAAATTAGAAATAAGGGCAAAATAGTTTCTGCTGGGTATTGAGGGGGTGGGGGGGAGAGGGAGGAGGCAGAGTGGGTGGTAAGGGAGGGGGTGGGGGCGGGGGGAGAAATGACCCAAGCCTTGTATGCACATATGAATAATAAAATAATAAAAGAAAAAAAAGCTGGAATTACAAACTTAAGGATTTGCCTAAGGGCACACAGATTACAGGAGGCAAAGTTAGGGTGTTGGGTAGGACTTGTTGGATCCTAGAGGAGACCGTCTGCTGCCTTTATTAAAGGGATTAGAACTGGGATTAGAACTGGGCTGGGGATATTAAACACACGGACAGAGTCTTGAAGGGCCCCTCAGGCAAGCCTATGTTTTAGAGGGGAAGGATAAGAGGTTAAGTGACGTGCCCACAGTGGCAGTTAAATATCGAGTCTGAGCAGCTCCCCCAAAGGGCCACTCTTTCACACTCATCATGTAGACAGACTAGGGCATAGTTAAACACAAAGAATGGATAGGCTTCATTGGCAGCTACCCAGACCAGTACAGTCTGATCCTGATTGTGTTCCCCTGCAGAGGCCAGGACCCAATACTTCAAGGGTACTTCTCTTTGAACCATGTGTGCTCCAGACTCAAAGACGGACAGAGGTATGTGGTACTTTTGGGAGACCCTAGGAAGGTAGTCATAGAGAGCTCAAGAGCAAGGACTGAGGCTCTGGAATCAGATGGATGTGAGCTGAGGTCTGATTGTTCTTTATTGGCTATGCCAGCTTTCCCAGGCCTGACCTTTATGATAAACTGCCACTGCAGAGCATTCTGATGATGAAAGGACAATGACTACAAGCTCAACACTGTACCTGGCCCATGGCAGGCCTCTGATGAAGAATTACTGTCATTTTTTTGCATAACCATTCCACAGCTTGTCCAGTCTTTTCTGTGGCCCTGAGGGCTACAGCTACCAGTGCCAGGAAAAGTGCTCATCCCAAACCAAGAGGAAGCAGGAAGCAGCAACCCCACAGAAGGGTGCTGTGGCTTCTCAGCATCCACTGCAGGTACAGGGAAAGACAGCATAGCCCACTCTCACTCTGGAGAAGACAACTCCTTCACTCCCCTGGTGCAGTCCCAAGGGAGGGTTCCTTCCTCCCTCCAATGTGACCTCAAGTTACCCGTGAAGAGGCTTCATGATACCCAGAGGTGTTAATGAACAATCTTGCTTACTTATTCTTCCACCAAATAGTATGTCTGAGGAGCATGCTGTCTGAGCTGAGTGCCACAGCACTCTGTGACAAAGCAGAGCTAAATATGAGACCCAGAGACAGAGTGTCCCTGCTGGGCTCTTCTGCCAGTCCCTTCTTTTGCCTCCCCAGGCTGCTAGTAATTATACTTAACTAAATAGAAAAAAGGCAGTTCTTTAATAACAGAAATACGTCTTATTGTTACATTTCTTACCTCTTTCTTGAAGCACTTGGCATGCTCCTCACAGCCCAGAAGAGACTGTATAAACTCAGCCACCTATGTGCAAGATGAAAAGCTTAATTTAAAACACACACCTGAAATAATTTTTGGGGGGGTTGTAGTAATTCAACATGTGAATAAACTATACTTCGAATCCCTCAAACACTTGGATTTAAATAGTAACTATCAAGTCACATTAGCATTTGTCAGCTCTTAAATTAGACCTTCCCCCAGTGTCTTTTTTATCCTATGGTCACCAGACTGACCTACATAGGGTTATGGTGACAGCCTCTATCTGTGTGGGGTTATGGCGTTCTGGAAGCTTCTTGTATCTGATCCTCCTGACCACACTGTGGGATTGGGGAGGGCGGGGGCTTGTGGCCTGAGGAAGCAGCTATCAGGAAGGCAATCAAAATGTGAGGACTGTCCGCCTCATTTGCAGGCAGCATAATGGCAAGGAAGGTCCCATCTTACTTATTGCCAAGGATCCACCTCTTTGCCCGTGCCTACCAGGCCACAGGAACTCCATAAATCTGACTTTAAAACTGAAGCCCACTTACCTACACTCACATTCAGTCAGTAATAGCAAAGACGGTTTTGGAACTCAGGTTTCTTATCTGGAACCCAGAGTTCTAGAAAAATACTCTGTTCAACTCGGCTTCCTGACCTCACCTCTCCCCTCCCTCCAATACACACAGATGCCTATTCCTTTTGAGTAAGAGAGTTCGCAGACCTGTCTGTCAGCACAAGAAGCCACCTAGCATTCCTAACAGTTACTTTGGGGGCGGGCTGCCTAAATAGACATGATCAAGTGTAGACAAACTATATGATCACAGGGCTCCTGGCAGGTCCGGCCAGCACTGCTGCAGGATGGGGTGGATGCAAACTGGGGCTGGAGCACTTGACCAGCTGATACTAGAGGGGAAGCATCTTCTTGCTTGATCTTTCCTTTTTGACTTCTGCTGGGTCAACCAAGTGGGATGTACAAGCCTTTTCTTCCCCTGGCCTCATGGGCAAGTCTCCAGAGAACTACAGAGCTCAGAGTGTGGGACCACACACCATCAGAGCCCTGACAGCTCCAGAGTCACTCCAAGGCTCGTCAGGAGAAGTCAGTGGATACCATGCCCCATGCAGAACAGAACGCCAGGTGTTGTCTGATTTCAGGCTCCAGAGCAGTGAAGGTCAACATCTAAGGCGTGAGTCGTGTGTGCATACTTGAGTTCTGTACCACTGATCATGTGGGAATGTGGAGTCCAGAATATCTTCTTTGGAGGACAGTTGGTGTGTTGGTATCTGCTTTACTTGCCTCCAGCACTACCAATCTTCTTTAGTTCAAATCACTTTGCAGTCATTCTTCTAAAGTGCAGGGTGAAAAGGATTTTAAGACAACCTCCCTACCCAGCCATGCACTGACACCTCCCAGCCCTGAGCACTGCAGTGTGTGAGCTAGGCTCAGCATAGAACACATGGAGGAAGCCCAGTTGGTTTGCTGAGTTAATACCTTGCTTTGTAGGTGAACAGGAAGCACGAAGCGCAAGTTTGCTATTTGCAAGGAGCTGATGAAAGCTGGAAGGCTATGAGTCAAGTCATATAAATGGCAATTGGGGCAGGTGACAGCAGTGCTGATGGTGGCTGAAGTGGGGCCTGGGTCTTGGGCCTAGGATACTGAAAGGTGGGGCAGCTCAGTCCTTCCCCAGACTGCTCTTCTTGCTGAGCATGTCATGTGTGAGGTTTTGTGCTGGCACTTTGTGGCACCTGTGATCAGGTCGGCCCTGAACTACTGGTGGGAGAGAAGGAAATGGCAAGTAAGAGACAACTCACTTGTCATTACAGTTCAGGTCACATGTATGACCTTCCCTTTATACTTCTGAAAGTATAGAGGCTTTCAGAAGTGAAGATTTTACCCCAGGTGGGAATCCAGGAAGGGCATCACAAAGGTGGTGGTTCCTGATGTGTGACACTATTTCCTCAGGTGGAGATTTTGGGTAGAGGTGTGGAGAATCACAGGAACCAGTCCAAAAGTAGGGCAGCCCAGGACAGGTGTGAGCAGTAGAGAGGAATCCAGGTTAGCCAGCACAGAGGAGCGGGAGAGGAGCAGAAGGAGAGCAGAGGAGAAGGCAGTGCTTGTGTGGTCTCCAGGTATGGATTTGTGTTTCCTGCAGTGGGCAGCAGGGAGCCTGGAGTCTTGGTTCTCCAGCCTGGTCACTGGCTGCAATCATCTGCAGAGCCTGCAGACTTGTGAAGTCCAGGCTCAAGCCACAAAGACTGCAAATGAATGGAGCTGGACTGGATCCAAGTGCCTGCCTGGCATTTATTTTCAGAGCTCCCTTAGGATGCTAATGTGCACTGAAGGCCACTGCACCTGAGAGGTGATCCAGCAGTGTCTGGATGGACTCGTGGTGTGGCCTCAAGGAACATGAGGGCCTGGGTGTTCCAAATGGGGCACAGGGCAAAAGGAGTCCACACTGAGTCCAGGGAACATGCTCTATGGCGAAGTCTCACTGACACCTTGGCCCAGAAAACAGACAGCTCTTGGCTACGGGGCTGTCCTATGTATTGGAGGACATTTAACTGCATCCTTGGTCTTTACTCATTAGCTGCCAGTAGCAGTATTTGCTTCCCGGCTGTGACATCCAAAAGATGATTCATGATGCCACCAAATGCCCCTGGCAGGGGGAACACCCCAGGTCTTCTGCAGAAGTGACTCTTTCACAGGAAGAGGGGCTTAATATAATAGGAGGAACAATGAAAATAGCAAAGGGGGACCAGGAGTTAAAGACTACATTTTGTTTTAGCTCCATGAGGAGCTGTGTTGGGACAACGGCTGCCTCATGGCAGAGTGAAGGAGTCAGCTGCAGAGATCGTCTCTCACGTCTTGCTCACAGCAGAAGTGCTGCGAGTTGCTCTGAGGGTTTGTGTATGTCACACTGTCCTTTTCTGAGCAAACAATAAAACAAGGGCTCCATTCCTCTCCTCAGCACTGTTAGCTAAGAACTCACTATCCATGACAAAGGTAAACTGAAGTTTTTAATGGGAATAAAGAGTGTGTTAAACTAAAGCGTCAACGGAGCAGAGTGAGTGCTGCTGACTGTGGTGGACTTAGCCAGCACCAGCACCACTGTGCGGCCTCCTCTGCTGTCTTTGCCTTACCACCTGTCTCAAACTCTCTGCCTTTTTGGGAAGAGACTCCCATTCCATTCAGCCTGTTTTTCCAAAGTAAAGAACATGATCCACAAAATCTACTGAGGCAGACATTTTTGGCCAGATCATAAACATACTCAGTATTATTAACTGGTATTTATTTTCCCTAGAATATATCATAATTTGACTTAATAGAAAGCTTCTTTTGTTGCAGATTTTCCCAATGGAAAGGTATGAGCTTTTATATATCAAGAATAACACTGAAAGTTTTCTCTCTTGTTCTCCCCTTAAAAGACAGACTTTTTTTGCCTTCAAATTTTGTTGATAAAATGTGGACAACTGTTATGGGAGTGAACACTATGAAAGAGGAATGACGGTCCATCTGTCCTGTGTTCACAAAAAGATAGTGTGGGATGGGGCTGCTTTTTCAAAGTGGTAAGTACCCTGTAGAGAGTAAACTAGACTGTGGGGTATGGGTATTGATACATGTGCTCAGGAGCAGAGTCCTGTGGCCAAAATCCCTGTCTTTTGTTTTGGAAGGACACTGCGTAAGTTAATTCTTGGTATGAGACAGCAGTTTGAGAAGACTAAGAAGGATGACTCTGCTGGGCTCTCCAATGAGCCCTTCACTATACTCAACTCACACCCCCTACGACCTACTTTCCTTGGCTTCCTTTCTGGCGCTCAGCAGGCCTCTGCTCTGCAGTGGGCTGCTGTTCCTTCAATCCTCCTGAATGGTGGTGTTCCTCTCTTGCTGAGCCTGGAGATGTGTGCCTGATTGTACTGCCTAAAAGTCCACTGGGGACCATGTTTCCAGCCCGAGTCTCATTTTTTAACAGCTGAGTTTATTTGCCTTTTTTTAAGGGCCCAATTGTAGACGGCTGCTATGCTTAGCTAGCAGTACCTTGAATTTTTCAAAAACATTCCCTCCTGTGTAAAGGCTGCTTTTAAAGTGACAGCCGTCTTTTATAGTTAATGAACATTTAGGGAGCACTTGGTTGAGGCTAGGACAATTTATATGTGGTGCTTTAAGAAGCATTTTTGAATAGAAGAGATGAAAGTACCCGTATGTATGCCAAGTATAACTAAGTCATGCCTGTGCAGTAAATGTGCACATAACACATTGTTGCCTGCCCACATATGCCTGGATAGTCAACTGGCAGGAACATACTCTGCAACATTCATTTATTTCTCCCTCCCTCCCACTTACTCCCTCCCTCTGTATCTTTTTTCCCTCCTTTACTCACCCAAACACTGGTCAAAGACCTACTCTGAACAGGATGCTATACTATGAAGATTTGTGAATATATAACAGGTAAAAATATTTTAGTACTTATGCTAAAAGCCTGTGCACTTGTATGGACTATTTCCCAGACCTGCAGTAAGGAATATTTTTACTGATGATGACTTAGTGTGTGTCACATCCCTATCTCTAACACAAGTTCGCAAAACGATCACCTTTATGACACAAAATACACTGTCATCTATTTTTGCCTTTCATTTCATAACCCCTAAATTGACTTCATAGTCTACCCATGCTTTGAACAACTCTGCTGTGGGAGAGACAACCACAGTGATAAAGGAGTTAAAGCCAGTCCACAGCTGTGGCGAGTGTGACAAAGGCCCTGCTGGCTCCTTTTCACAGGTATCGTAATGTGGAGCAGAGGTCTTCCTCCCAGACCAGGGCGGCGGACAAAGGGAACGTTCCTTCTCTTCAACTTCTGCTACAGACACCCTGTGTTAGGTCTTGCTGGATGGCACTTAACACAGGATGCCAGGTTCATTTCAGCATGCCCTGTCCCTGGTTGATAAGGCTCCCCTCCACTGCCTTCCAGTGCTAACAAAGCACAGAGGCAGCCCCACCCTGACCCATCCTGTTCAGAATGGGACTGCCTTTTCAAGTCATCCCTCCCTGCTTGCCACTTTTCTTGTAGTGTCCAGAGCAGCCTCACGCTCTTTTGCTGGTGGGCACTCACTGGATGCCCCCAATGTGGACTCCCTTTGAGAGCTGCCTTATTTTCAGAGACAAACAGAACACATTCACAAAGCCCACATTTTCAATTCATCAAAGCCCATTCTTGAGGACCTATTTTGGTGCTGGGGAATGTGCTGTAGTGATTAAGGATACAGAAGAAATCTAGGAGGTGGTTCTTATCCTCAAGGGACTCTCATTAGGGAGATATGAAGACTGAGACATGTCAGCACTGGGGAGCAATGCGAAGTGTGTCTGTGGAGCACATCCCTAGTGGAAGCCATGGTTACAGAAGCATCAGGGAGCATCATGAGCAACGGCATTTGATGCAAGGTACTTGGCCTCCCCATGACTCTTTTGCTTAATCTCTAAAAGCTCTAAGGTCTCTTCCAGCAATGGCAAGGCTGAGATTGCACATGCACAGCTATGAAGAACACAGGACCTGGGATTTGTCTTCCCATAGTTCTTGGTAGCTTCAGCATCTCCTTAATCTTCCTTTTGACACTTTCCCAATTCTAACAAGATTTTCACCTGAACCAACTTCTCCCTTCAGTTACCTTCCCATCTCTTTCTTTCAAGTTCATTAAGTGCCAAACTTGAAATCTGTCAGATTAAACACCCCCCTCCCACCCCGCCACCTTTCTACTCATTGCTCAGTGGTCCTAACAGGGTTCCTGATCTTTTTTGCATGACAGCTTCCCTGAGAAATAAATGAAAACTTTCCCTCCTTCATTAAAATGCACATATTTGTTCAACAGTTCCAGACCTAAAGCTGACCCTGTGGCCCCACGTAGGCCCCACAGGAGCCTGCTATCTGCCATGTTGCATGAGCACATATAACTAGCCTGCCGCGAGACCTTTCTCCCGTGGACTCTTGCTTGCATCTCTTTGAGTGTGCCTTTGCAGCCCTGCTCCCCGCACCTTGTCCTGTTCCTAATTCCTGCCCTCGCATGCTGTTAGGGAGCATGAAGCTGGTGCTCCCAGCCTGTTCTCTTAAGTGTCAGTGCCTTATGTTTCTGTCCACTGGAACATCTCTCTGTCCTCTGGTGTGACTCCCAGGAACTTCTCTCTGTGTCCCATCATAAATTCTCTGTGTTGTCACCCTGCCCCCACACTGGGTCCTTTTCCAAAAGCCTCACTTCTTCTGACAGTAACACCATTTCCATTCTTTCAGAGGAACTTCTTGAGCCTTCCGGTTCTCACATATTACTATCCTAATTAAGTACTAAACTGTAGTGCTGAGGACTATAAATGGAATCACATTTGGCTCATTTTACTTTTTTTATCCTGTGTCTCATCTACTTCCTTGTGCTGTTACTTTTGACTTTAAAACATCTACTGAAGTCAGTTCTTGTTATAACACCACCCAGTCCAGGCCCTGATTATTCTGTACCAGGGGACTTCCTGGTTGTCTGCCTCCCCATGGCTTCTCCATCTTTCTAAAGATCTTTGTTGTTCTCATCTCCCTGAATCACCAGCTTCACAAACTGACTTTCTGCCTAAGAATCTAACAGGCTCCAACTATAGGCTGAGCCATGCCTACCTCTTCCTGGCCTTCAAGGCCTTTCACACCTGGATCTTCTTTCTTGCCCCAGGTTACTTTCTTCCAAGCTCTGGTCTTCTGTACTCATGTTGGGAAAAAAGTCAGCTTAGGGCCTGGTTTTGACCATGCAACCTTAACCAAGTCACTTAGTCTCTGGGTATCTCAATTTCCCCATCTGTCAATGGGCAAAATAAGAGTGTCTATCATCATTATTTTAATATAAGTTACTGATGACATGAGGTGCCAAGATCTGTGATCAGTGAGAGAAGAGAAGCCACTCCAGTCTAAACTTCCAAAATAGTAGACTTTCAAACATCTGGCTAGAAAGTCAATAGGGTATGGCTTTCCATTTCATTCTCAGTTAAACTCCTCCGTTTTGTGCATTGTTGTTTTATAGATAAAACCATACATGATTTATTATAACCTGATAGGTTTCAGTTCAGTTGCTTTGGTCATGAACACACTTTGCACACTTTGTAAACCTGCACTAATTCACAAATGAGGGGCAGACTCAGAATACTCTTTAAGGAGCAGGATCATGTTTTAGTCATTCCCCTAAATACCCAGCCACTGCCTGAGCAGGTCAGCTCTCCACTACCGGGATCAAATGGCCTGTCCATGGAGTAGAGGAGAGGTGGGAAGGCAGGCAAGCAGACAATGCCAGTTGTCTCTGCTCCTCTCAGGAGGAAGAGGAACCCCAGGCCCACTAGATGAGGTGTCTGTGGAGGAGGGAACAGGGCCAGCTCCTGCCTTCCCATGTCTGTGCAGCATTGGTCAAGGTACAAAATGAAGCCTTAAAATAAAACTCTGTGATCCTGGTTACAGTAAGTGCTCAATGAACATTTTGTGACTAACTTATCTCCATTTGTAGCTGGACTCTTATCCCTAGAGTGACCCAGGGTTTTCTTTATTGAAAAAAATATGTGATCTAAGGCCTGACTACTGAAATACCTTTATTGGAATGAACTCACTGATGTATTCCTTACATGAAAACTGCTTTAAATATGAGGCATTTTTACAGCACTATAATAAGCAATGAGGCTTAACCAATCCTTACTAAAAACTAATGTTCTAAGGCATGTTTATATTAGAGTCTGATCTGACTTCCCCCCCTATATAGCATCTTACTCAATGTTGCAACCACACATACTTTAAAAAATCACACTAAGGTTGACCCAGTCATCTTGCGGCTGTTGTTGAGGACACTGGCCGCAGGGACCTGCCCTATGGGAAGCGGCAGGGATCATCAGGGCCCAGACTGTCCAAGGGTGGGTGCTGTCTCCTACAGAAGAGGCCATTGACAAAAACCTGAGATACTTACATGTGTGCTCCAATCAACACTGGGATATGAACGTGTAGGCTTAGGCCTCTCTGCTTCAGTTAGCCTGGGCAGCTGGTGATGGGTTACAGAGAGGTACTGGTATAAGGTTGGAAGAGAAGACACAAAACCAACCTGGGACACCTGGGCTTTTCCAATTTCCTCAAAATCATGCCTGGCTTCTTGTTCCAATTTGGATTTTAAACCTTATGTGGAGGATGCAATGCCTAAGAGAAAAAGAGTACTGTCCCAGGCACTGGAGAACCTCAACAGCAGGCTTATCCCATCCCTGAGCCCCCATCGCAGCTATGCTCACCTCATCCACTGTCCATCGGGCCACTTGGCTGGCCTGGATGTCAGCCACACCTGGAAGCAGCTTGCAGTGCTGCTCTCTGCCAAGGGGAAGGTCCTGGAAAGGGTGGGCAGACATGGAGGTCATGAAGACCGACTGGTGAAGAGCCTGCTGTGTCTGCTCGGCTGAGTATTCTGAAAGAGAGCAGCATAGAGTGAGCACAGCAGACACTGGAGGCAGTCATGATGGGTGAGAGGCAGGCGCAACCAGTACCCTTGTCTTCTGCTTGTATAAGGCCACTGCCAGCAGAGTCCCCAAGCACACTATGGGCCACAGGACTGCTTTTGAACAAAGGGCATGCAAATAGATGTCATGTAAGGCTCAGAAGACTGGCTGTTTGCTAACCAAGTTCAAATCATTTGTGAGATACTGTTTGATGGACAGTGAAGGGCTGGCTTGTCACTGCCCCCTAACTCCTTTCTTCTTAAATCAGGAGTCAGAGGAAGCAAAGAACCATGCTCCATGTGAATACTGCGTAGATTGGCATACTGAGCTATCTGGGATCTGTATGGGCACAAGGAACAATTTCTTCCTGGAAGCCACCTCATCTATCGCTAAAGATGGAATGAGCCCAGGTCCCCATCTGGCTTCCTAAGTCCCCTGGTGGTACTGAAATGTAGCACAAGTTCCCTGTGAGAACCTCAGTGACATCAGCTGCTGCTGTAGTTTTCCAGCAAGACATAATGACCTCACCTGGGTGAAACTGCAGCAAGGTGGCCAGGGACTTCTGGAGAGCAGCCTGGGTTAAGGTGACTTTCCTGGCACAGGCATTCTTAAGTGGGAGTTCTCTTTTCTGAGCAGAAGCTCTGGATGTTCTGCAGTGCTGAGGCACAAAGGGTAGTGGCCACTGCTTACTCAGCAGTGCCTTCTCTTACCAAGGAGGGAGATTCAGTGGGGTCTTAAGGCTTCAGCCTCATGTCATCCACACCTATGTACTAGTTTTCTCCCTGCAGGAGTGACTTCACTCTTATGTCACACCCTGACATTTAAGTTGGACCCATCCATTTCAATTCCCTAGTGATTTTTGCTTTGAATCTACAAATGGGTAAAGAAACAAAACCTTAGAGATTTCAGCAAAAACTATTGCCTTTTAATGACATCTTTTAAGATATTTCCAATACAATAAGCAAAAAATAAAGTTACTGATATTGAAGGAGACTTTGAAAAGACAGATTACAAAAGAAAATGCTTTCAGCCTCCCAAGAGCCAATCTCTCCTAATGCAAATGGCAGGTCGAGTGAGCAGTAACTACATAATTTAAAATCTATTATGGTGATTTGTGTTTTACTAAGAGTCTGAAAAGTTCTTATTTCTACCTCAAATTAATTTCAATTTTTAGTCAGCGAGGCTGACTTGCACTTTTCATGGTCAGTCACATACCTGCTTCCAATCAGAAAGGCTGTAAAGCAAGTGAGCAGTCCACCACTGGGCTTCTCTGTACATTGCTGCTCTTGTGGATCAGAGCAGACATCCTCCTATTTACCAATGCTTGCTGTCTAGCCAGATAGAGACAGCAAAATTGCTGGCTTCTTCCAATTCTTATGCTCCAGTTGCCACCAGCAGCAAATTCATCTCTAACTGCTGATTGTCCACACTGACCTTTTTAGTATGTAAATAGGTTATCTCTCTTTGTGTAGTTCAGCCAATAGCATGTAAGGCTGCAGGTTCTGGAAGGAACTTCACATCTTCTTTGAGAAAACAGTATGCTGACAAATGTTGAGTGTTCTTTAATGAAGTTGTCTGGTAGGACAAGGAGCACGTAGAAAATGAGCCCTCAAAACCCAAACTGGAAATATCATAGGGACAGTCTGCAGTTGCAGCAATACAGAAACCTCTGAGGGCTTTTCTGGAAAACCAAGAGTTAAAGCCACAGACTCTCAGAGATTAAGACCCTAGTCAAAGATGGGCTTTATTTTGGAAAAGAATGACTGCGGCACTCAATTGGTTGTTTTGCAGAGATAGCATGTATGGATTTAACACAACAAATGTATGCGTATCTCAAACTCTTGCCTTGGGCAAATTAATCATGTATAACTTCCAAAACATATAGGACTCTGAAAAGACAAAATTAATGCATCTTACATCTTGGAATTATGAAGATACTAAGATTTTATTTGTGATTCACAAATAAATGTTAAAGGTATTAAAAAAATGTAGAAAAAAATTCTGTGCTCCCAAGCAAGAAAAATTTCAATGCCATAATTTTGGAAGTGAACTGCCTGCTTTGGGTACTAATGCACGTTGCTGAATACACACCTAATGTGTGGTTGCCAGCACCTAAACACTATTTTGGTTCCTCAAGCTTTATGCAGTATACTTGAACTCAGGCTTGCTTGACATTATTATGCAGTTAACCGTTTCTCTACTAAATGAAGTGAAATTTGGATTACTTGAAACTTCATTTGGAAGCCCATGAGAGCTGCGGGGAATAAGCTTTAGGTGCCACAGACTACCCTACCATAGGCAGCAGGGAAACTGCAGTCATCTACTGGGCTGGATGGCCCTTAACTGGTGGGCTTGTGCCTGCTCACCAGCAAATGCAGGTTCTGGGGATGCTTCTAGAATCAGTTATATGCCAAACACAAATGACATTTTTACTGCTATCACTTTGCTGTATCAATTTTACAAGAGGTGCAGAGTTTAAAAGCTGTAGGAGCCCCCACTTTATCCACAGTTTCTGCTTTCTGCAGTTTCACTGACCCACCACGTTCAACCATGTCCAAGATAAGAAATGGCAAAGTCCCAAAATAAATAATTCTTAAGTTTTAAATCATGTGCCCTCTAAGTAGCAGCATCCTCCGTGGGATGTGAGTCATCCCTTGCCCACTGTTTCTACCCTGGGTATGCCACCTTTACCACTCCTTCAGTAGCTGTCTTGGTTATCAGAGAGACCTTTGGGGTATTGCAGTGCTTGTGTTCAAGTTACTCTTATTTGCTTATTAATGGACCCAAAATGCAAGAGTAGCCATGCAAAGGAGGCAGCAGGCCACAAAACACAGAAGGAAAGATTAACTCTGGTACTATGTGGCGGTGCTTTAGGGCATATAGAAAGCTATGGGGGAAAACCGTAGTATACGGAAGTTTCAGTACCATCTGTGGTTTCAGGCTTCCTCAGAGGGTTTTGGAATGTATCTTTTGTGGGTCAAGTAGGGAACACTTTACTTAAAATGGCCTGAGTTTGGTTAGGAAGGGAGCTTCTGAGTGAGGAGTTTGGAATAACCTAACTGGTCTGTCACTCTGTCACCCCTCTGACCTGGCTACAGTTGACCATATCCACCATTCAGTGCCTGTGGACAGGATATAGGGAGGGATGAGGATAAAGAACTTAGCAAGACTGTAGCATGCTGTAATCACTCAATGGTAGGTACCACTGTAAATTCAATCTGCAAACTTCCTGGGGCTAGGATGAATGTTTTATAAAGGGAAGTTGTGTGATTCTGAATTAACATAATATGAGACTAATTGTCCAAAAGAGGGAATGTGTTTTGGGGAGCATTTCATGGTGATTGGTTTGTTTATTTGTACGCTTTACCAGGTCTACTTTATCCCACAGCTGATGATATTGGAGTGGGATACTCAAATTTAGAATGCTTGCATGAGCTTGTGTCAGAGGCACTGTGGCACAGAGGGGGGCTGGGTCAAGACCAGATTGCTCAGTTGTGAAGTCTGGACTCCACATCACAGATGAGTGACTTTGAATGAGATACTTAACTCCTACGTATCAAGACTGTTTCATCTCTAAAATGGGGTAATAGCACTACATATACCTCTGAGTTACTGTGATAGGACAGCTCCTGTTACATAATGAGTGTTCACTATCCATCAGAATACTATTAAAAGATGTAAGGGCTTTAAAAGTTGTGACAATTGTGAATATGGAGACATATACTATTCCCAAAGTCACTATGGTTAGACGTTTCTAAAATCTCTGATAGCAGATATCCAAACAGATTCAGAATCTTGAGGGTTAGGGCTGGTGGAATGGCTCAAGTGGTAGAGTGCCTGCCTAGTGAGTATGAGGCCCTGAGTTCAAACCCCAGTACCACTAAAAAAAAAAAAAAGTATCCAGAATCTTGAGAGCTATGTTTAGATTTCACAACCAAATGGTCATAGAATGGCAGCACAGTGCTCCCCAAAATCCTGTGCAGAAGTCTCACTGGAAGGATATAAGAATGGTATGCTCAGGCTGCTGCTGAGGTTGGGCGAGACACCCACTCCCTAGGCACACTGCGGCCAATGTGTGGCAGTTGAATGGCACTGCTAAAATGCCTTCAGCCTGGCAGCTTGGAGATTCTGTGACTCTCAACAGACTTTTAAAATTGAGGGCGATTTGCATTATTTTAAATTCTGTGCATAAGATTAGACTTTTGGAACTGTAAAATTTTTGCATACATTTTTATAAAATGTGAACATACTGATTTTAACTTTTTCTCAAGCTCAGCACAGCTCATGTAATGTCAGATACTCATATACTCACTAGATAACTGCTAATAAATTAGAAATCATAAGCCATTGATGGAGGAGTATACAGTCATGTAGCCAACCGTGGCCCCATAATATCATCATGGAGCTGAAAAATTCCTGTTGGCCAGTGTATTTATTGTATTTTTGCTATGCTTAGATGTTAAGATACACGAACATCACTGCATTACATTTGTCTGAAGTATTCAGTACAGTAACATGCGGTACAAGTGTAGCCTAGGAACATCAGGTACACCATACAGCCCAGATGTGTTCCAGGTTCCAGATGTGTGTATGTGCACTCTGTGATGCTTCCACAGTGACTGAATCCTTCATTAATGCAGTTCCTGGATTTTATCTGTCATTCATTAGGTGATACACAACTGTACTGTCCTGAGAAACCATTCTCATCAAATCAAAGAAGATCATTCTACCTGGGGGCACTGTGGGTAAAAGGGAATTCCAGATCAGAAAGTATTTTACCATGAAGAGGCCACGAAGTGTGGCATCCCAGCTTGGTTTTCACTTACCATGGCTGAGGGATATGGGCTGCTTCCCAGTTATACTTCCTCGCTGTAGCAATAACTCCTACCCAGCTCCTGAACAATCAGCCAAGGAAGTGCAGTGTGCAAAAGCAGCCTCCTGCTGGAGGGTTAGCAATCTAATTAATCAAAGCATTGGCTCCAGAAGATGAGATGCATGTGTAATTAGTGGCTTTGCCACTAATACCAGGGAGTAAGTGACAACAAAGAAAGCTATCCCTGAGCTTAGGAGCATATAACACTTGTTACCTCAGTGGCTTGCCAATGTTTGTTTGGAACAATTTTTCTTGCATTTCTTTTGGGTTTTATGGTCTTAAAAAAAATAATAACGTGTTTAATGATTCCATCAAGAGATCTGGAACACTTTCAAGTTTCTCAGGTCAACATGTTGCTCTGTGTCCCACCCCAGGATCTAACAAGACCCTGGACCAGAGTGCTGGAAGACCTGGCTGGAGATCTCAAATCTCTTGAGGACCACTCCATTGGTGTTCAGGCATCACCTGTCCCCAGAGGCAATAAATAACACCCTGGAAGAGGCATAAGCCTCATTAGCAGCCAGAGAAGGGCTCATCTTCTCAAGAGTCTGTGGTGATGGCCAGACTGACCAGTTGTAGGTAGCACATGTAATATAGGGGCTGCCTTTCCAGTCACCACACAGAGTTGTGATACAGAGTACAGCTTGGTCTGCCTTCTAATTTCACAGACTGTTTTTTTTTTAATTATTTAGTCTAAGGATTGAAATCATCTGAAAATAATATGAAACTAGGTCTCTGATTTCTTCTCTGCCCCTCTCATACGTTCTGTTCAACCCCTTCCCCTACCTAAAGAAAAAAACCGTTCATGGAAATGTTCTTTAAAAATATGGCTGTTTCTTTACAAAAGCCTCAAACAACAAAACTGAAGCAAGTGAGTCATAAATGGTAAATGAGAGTCTACATGATTGGGCCTTGAGTTATTTTTAATTCCATTAAAAACAGAGACCCATTTTACAAGTAACCTTCTCTTCAATGAAAAAGGGAGCAATTCTGCTGCATTCTCTGTTCCACAAAGGAGGAAGTAATAATATAAAGTTGTGATTGGCCCTGAAATCCAATTAGGTGATTTTCTTGCCCACTGCATAATCTGTGATAGTCACCTACTGAGTCCACACACATCTCAGCACTCACTGAGAAGGTGCTCTGTTTGAGGTACTGTGCTCCCATAGTGACTTCTGCTGGAGCAGGAAGGTAGAGTTCAGTGACAGCTTTTCACTTGGTATCTGGGCTTTCTTCCTAGGCTCACCCATGTCCAAGGCCCATGGCCTCAGAGTGCTGGAGCCATCATTTCTGTGCTCCAGCCTTTTCTCTGCATTTTGATGCATTTAAGCCCACTCAGTTCCTCTTCTTTTCCATTTCTTCATCCCCTCTGTTCCCTCAAAGGGAGAACCAGACCAAAGAAGCCAAGCATGATTAGCAAGACAATGTTTGTGCCTATGTGGGCACAGGAGCTCCTCGGGAACAATTAACGGCCCGCGAGCACTGAACACATGCTTCTCGTCTGCCGAATCATGCTGCCACTCAAAACACTGTGTGCTCCATGTGCTGTGTTATGTTCTATTCCTCAGGCCTCATTGGTTAGAATTCCAGTGCTGTAATCTACCCAAAGCCTTGTGGCTGTAGTCCTCCCTCATCAAAGGCTGCCTCTTCACAGCTGATTTCAGATGAATGCAGGGAGGAAGCACAGTAAGGCACTGCCTGCTGGCTGCCAAGAGAATCAGAAGTTGAATGAAATACCTTGGATATTCTAGATCTGGATCCTAGCACTCTAGTAGCATGAGGTAGATGTGACAATGGAGCAGCTGAAATGTGGAGATGTGCTACAATATTAAAAAGAATATAGGCCAGGTATGGTGGGTCATGCTTGTAATCCCAGCCACTGAGGAGGTAGAGATCCAGAGAATCGCAGTTCTAGGCCAGTGAAGGGCAGGAGGAAGTTCACAAGACCCCACTCAACCAATAAAAGCTGGGTGTATTGGCATGGGCCTGTTATCCCAGCTACTTGGGAGAGTAAATAGGAGGATTGCTATCCAGGCTGACCTGGGCATAATTGTCAATATACTTATTCAGACACTAAGCAAAAAAGTATGGAGGAATAGCTCTGTGGTACAGCTCCTGCCTAGCAAGTGCAAAGCCCTGAGTTCAAACCCAGTACTGCCAAAAAAAAATAAAGATTATAGAATATATCTCCCTAACAATTTTTGTCTTTATTTATGTGATAAAATGATATTGTGGATATATCAAGTTAAAATAAAATATGCTGCTAAATTAATTTTACTTGTTTCTTTTTATTATTTTAAATGTAGACAATTTCTCTGGGTAGTGTTCTATTTTTATTAGACAGTACTGGTCTAGAAGGGTACAGAACTGTGGGAGTCCTGACCTGGCTAGGAAGCTGGACAGAATGAACATTCCTCTTATTGAACTAAAGACGCAGCTCAAAGTGGCCTGTATTCTATCCAGCCTCAGCAACCACAAGAATGGACGAATACATGAAGACCTGAGTTTATGGGTGAGTCTGCCTGGACACAGACTTCCTGAGTTCATTAGCCATGAAAATTTGAGCGATGTATTTCTCTGGCACATAGCTAATAATGAGTCTCTGCTGAATGGATGAACAGCTTCACAAATGAAAGAATACGTGAGGAAAATAGGAGCCATTTAGTTCTGAGTGTTACAGCCCATCCCTAAGTTACTAGATGCCGAAGGAGTTGTGGCAATATTCTTCTTGGGACTGGAGAGAGTTAGGGCACATGGGCTTTGGCATCTCCAGGCTCCTTGTGGCCATATTCCTAGCATTCCTCCTTGGTCAATTGGTAACAACTCAGCTCCTGTGCGGCTCCAGCAGTCAGCTTTAGGTCTCTGCTCACAACCAGGTTACCCTCCCACCTCAGTTATGCTCCCTCACTCAGTGAGATGCCCCTCTCACCTTGGTTCACCTCCTGCAAGCACTTCACAGATGGCATTTCCGAAGACTATGAGACCTTTTCTGACAGGCAGGTTCTGCTCTGACTGTCTCTGGTCTCTGCCTGTGACCCCAGCAGACCTTCTGAATGGGCAGTCTCTAGCTCCTCATGGTTCTCTCAGCAGTATTGAGCTGTATCCACTTCCCTGTCAGGCCCCCAGTCATCTATGTTCCCTTGTATGTTGCCAGTTCCCTAGAAACCTAAATCTGCTTCCTGTCCCCTTCAGAGGGTGCCTGCCACCAAGCTTGTTAGCCTATAGGACATGGTTTCTTGGCTTCCTTTGCCTGGCTGCCTCTACACAAGCTCTTTTTAAGAGACTTATTGCCAAACACAGCTGAATCCTGATGGACTCAGTCACTTGTCACTCAATAATTAGAGGAAGTGGCAAATAATACCCCTCCTAGAACAGGAGCTAGTAGCCAAGGTTAAGGGGTTAGGCTGTCAGCTTCAACTCCTGAGGTCAGGGCTTTCATTACTTTGTTAGATTCTACTTCAGCCAACACCTTTAAGGGGTTCTCCAATCCTAGGATGTCTATTCTAGGGTTCTTACATGCAGAAACCTGGTGTTCCAAATAGAATGGTTCTTCCCACCAGCAAGCCTGCCCAGGGTGGTCCCACAGGATCCCCATCAACCACTACCCTACACAGAAACTGCTTCCTCTTCAGTCTCTGTTAATGGAGTATAAATTCAAGGACAGTCACTTCCAATTCATCCTCAGAGCCCCATGGTGTAGCACAGATTTGACACATGGTGAGCATCATACAGGTGCTTAATATATGATGTGACTGTTGAGCCATCTGAGGAATTCCACTTCAGAGACAAACAACACAGTGACAAATGCTAACACGGTCTGTGCCAGTGAAAACAATGAGTTTCCATCCTGTGTTCTTTCATTTGCCAAACACACTGATTACTGAAAAGCCTGGGGATTGTTTGTGATATGAAATCTAACTCACTCTTCAGTTACATATTTGAGAAGCAGACAAAATTCAGAAAAGTCCATATTAACTTTTGATATGTTAGTCAACCAATAAAAGACTTTAGTGCAGCATATTTTCTGATGGGTATAGAATGACCTTTCAGTTTAATATTTGTTTTGCACAGCTTGAGACATTATTAATTAACTTTTTGATTGAATACTACAATCCAGTTGCTTAGCATGTATTTTTGTATTTTCTGCAAGACCGACTTCCTTCACTTGCAAAGCTGAGAACACAATTGAATGATCACGGGCATCAACTTGACCAGAGAACTGGAGTGGCCCTTCCCAGTGTTGCACCCTCCTCCCTGCTAACTTCCTACCCTACTCCACACATGCATGGGGAGGAGGAAGAAACTGTGTGGGGCTGGCATTCACAAATCTGATATGTTTGAGACCATGGGACAACAGACAACATCACATTGTGAAGAAATGGTTTAACTAGATTCTAATTCCCACAGTGGATGATGGTACTGCATTAGAAGGGGCAGGCGAATTTGGAAGTGGAGGTTATCCAGCAAGCTCGGGACCAGAAGGTTTTAAGGTTTCAGATAAATTTTGGATTTTGGAATAATAGCATATACATAATTAGGTTTCTTGGGGATGGCGCCCACGTCTAAAACATTATTTGTTTGTTTCATTAGGCACTTTATACACATAGCCTGAAGGCAATTTTATACAATATTATCAATAATTTTGTGCATGTCAAGATCTCCACTTGTGGCACACTGTCAGCACGCAGAGCTTAGGAGGTTGGGTTTTGAGGCTGGGTATTCTCAACCTGTATACACTATGAGTACAGGGCAGGGGATGGGCACCTATGCTTAGGTGGGCTTACCTAGGTGGGCTCAGGGCAACCAGTGCAAATGCCCAAGCAGATGTCTCCCCTACATGGCACATCCTCAGCTCCCACAAGGCTGAGGTTGAACAAGTACCAGTTAGAGGACTTACCATCTTCACACCACCTGCCTCACAGAGGGCAGACATTGTATTTTATCTCTGCAGACTCCACCCCCATAGCAGAGCACCTGGCTCAGAGCTGCTTGAGAGCTGTTTGTTGACAACTTACAAATCCTGGGAAGTGGGCAGAAGAACGTATCCCTCTGGAATGATGGAAAACCTGAAACTCCCACTGAGTCTGCTCCATGAGTGAAGCCTTCTTGGACTCTCTTTCCTTTCCTCTGGACTTTCCTGCCGCCCCCACCCCCCTCCAACTGGACAAACTATTTGAGCCAGAGTCCATGGATATTCAAGTTCATCAGAGACCCCCCCGGTAAAAGGATTCCTGTGGCGCACATGGCTGAGAGGTTTCCCAGGCTCATGATGAAGCACAGCCAGCTCAAGGCATAGCACTGTGTGGTCATTCAGGAGCACTGACCAAAATGACAAAGACTGAACTAAATTCAATGACCCCTAGAGGGCTGGTACCCTGGAGGAAGGACAGGGTTGTGGGTGAAGAGGTTCTGCTAGCAGCAGTTGGACTTGCTCCCTTGGGGCCAGCTGGGGACCTGGGGAAGAAGAGCTCACTGGCCCCTTCTTGCTGTTTTGCTTACTCCACAGGACTTCAGTAGGGGTGGTATCAACAGCCCTCTCTTAAATGTGATACAGTGGTCTGAGAGCAACTTGGAAGAAGTTCTTGGCTGAGCAGAGCTCAATATGGATCCCAGAGTCTGCACGCTGGGACTCTGTTTTCTTCCATCCTTCAATAGTGGATCCTATGCATCCCTGTCAAAAAGGTGGAGGTAGGTGTGACACTCTGGGGGCAGGGTGTAGTCCCAATATTCCTGGAAAGACAGAATTGCCCTTTCTTTTATAAGGCAATCCTCTATGTTGCCATATATAGCATCTGAATTTCTACATAGGTCCTTGCACACAGGTCAGATTTATCTCAAAACAAGTATGCTCCAGGGTTGCTGCCTGGGACCCATGGGCTATGCTCAAAGGAGCACCAAATGCTCCAGGATGACAGTGCCTGGGCTCATAGGAGGTGAAAGGTGGCAGCCGTTCTCCCTCCACATCCCTGGTGCCTCGCCTGCCACTCATCCCTCTGGCCCAGAGAGCTACCTCCTTCCCTGGCAGTTAGCTCGGCACAGATGCTTACCCCTCATGGTGCCAAGCGCTCCCCTCATGGAGGCAGTGACATGTAATCAGACCGCTGGCGGAGTGGGGGAGTCCAAGTGGCTTCTCCACACATCTCGGGAACCACCTGTTCTTATGGGCTCAGGTGCTTGGTCTGTCCTGCAGACAGCACTTGGCATTTGAAATCCATTCTCAGAAGACTCTTCCAGCCCAGGACAACCTTAAAGCCTGGGTCTCTTGAGAGGGAGAACTTACCCAAAGCTGGGTTGTTCCTCTGTGAATTGAAATGAAGTGTTCCCTCCCTCTCAGGTGTTTAAGATCCCCTCTCCTTGTGATTATTTCATTGTTGAGACATACAAATAAGCAGCTGTGGGGCCACCTCTTCTTGCAGGAGTCCTGCATGCTCACTCTAAAGTCTGCCAGCAGAACAGCCAGACACAGAAGCATGCACAGAACATGATGCTCTCCCTCCAACCCCCGCCACGTGTTCTCTCCCACACACATGATGACCAGGAAGTGAGAGGCCAGCCCACTTCCGTGCTGCTCAGCTCTGCTGAGCCCCTCCTGCCTGTTTTCCAGATTCTCTGTGCACCCAGATCAAATATGTGTGTGTGTGTGTGTGTGTGTGTGTGTGTGTGTGTGTGTGTGTCCATGCATTTTGTCATGAGCTTCCCTCTTACCCATCAACCTTTCCTGTCCTCTGGACTCCTTGGCCCGGTCTCACCCGCTGCTCATTACAGGGGGCAAACTGGGCTAATGGAAAAATTATGGGCAGAACAGAAAACAAAATCATGGCTTGTCTTTATTTTTTAAAAGAAGAAATTTGTGTTCTTCATATTATATAAGACTTTAGACTTTTTTTTAATTATTAGAATTATGAAAGAAACTTATCAGTGAATTACACCAATTTTTATGAAAACTGACTAGATTTGAGTTGGATAAAACATACAAAAAACTTCATGTTCTTTGCTCACTGGTTCTGTCTCAGAAACTCAGTTCCAAGCCAAGCAAAGCCTATTCTGTTCAGTTTTTCTCTTCTAAATAGACACCACCTGACGCCAGCACGCACAGATAATGCAGCTGACCTTTCCCATTTATCAGCAGTCAAGAGAACAGAAAGAATTTAATGTTCTTTCCTCTCCCTCTCTCTCTCTCAGGAAAAATAAAAGAAAAAACCCCCAAAGCACTCCAAATATTTAAATGGCAGGAACAGGTACCAGGCACAAGTGAAAGCAGATTATGACGCACAGGGTCAGTGGAGGGCTGCACCAGCCACTGCACCACGCTGTACTCTAAGCTCCTATTTAAAAAGTGAATTCACAATGAAGACATCACCTCCCACCTGAGTGTCCTCATACAGGTGGTCACATCTTCCCAGGGTGCCCATCCTCCCCCACCCCCCAAATCTCAGCCCTGATCTTTTCTCATTCTGGGCCTAGAGAGCTTAGACTGAGCAAGCTCTTCCTTCATGTAGTTGGTGGGTTTCTTTACGCCGCAGAGCTGACTTCCCAGGCCTGTGGAGCCATACAGAGTTATTATTTTTAGATAGGGTCTTACTTTTGTGCCTGGGACTGGCCTCAAACCATGATCTTCCTACCCCTGCTTCCTGGTTAGCCGGGACAATAGATGCACAGGACCATGACTGGCTTATTTATTGAGATGGGGTCTTGCTAACTTTTTGTTCAGTCTGGCTTCAAACTGTGATCCTCTTGATCTCTGTCTCCTGAGTAGCTGGGATGAGCCACTGCACTCAGGCTTCTGATTAGGTTTTGAAGCAAGGTCTATGACACATGAAATCCACATGCTTTACAAGTAGAATCCCATGTGGAAGCACAGAGCTGGGGGAACTACTACCAGAGCCATTCAGAGATCTGGCCAGCAGCAGAGGCCAAAGAAATTGCCTTGTGTGAAGAGGATGGTATGCTTTTAGGAGCAACAGCC